AGAGGCCGGACAGACAGCTGGGCACGCTTCCCGTGAGTGGGATAGCCAAGCTTTCATTCCAACGGCCTGCCCTCCCGGGGGCAGGAAGGGCACCCAGTACAAGCCAGCAGAGCCTTGTGCGAGGCACATCCCCACATGCACTGCTCTGCACTTCTCCGGGAGGACTGAAGGGCCCGTGGCTTCCTCCCGGGACTGAAGCCAGAGCCGGTGCTTAAGTCACCGGGCCAGAGAGACAAACGAACCAGCCACCGAGAGAAGCCCTTCCAGGGGCCACAGCTTTCCGATTCCACCACCAGGAAGGAGTTGCCTTTCTTTGGGAACACCAGCGGGGCTCACCAGCACCGTGGGCCGGGACACTGCAACTCCAAGCTTACATGCAAAAGACAAGTGCAGAGCCGACTGCCACCAGAGTTCCTGGGGACCCTCTGAACGCCCACCCTGAGCAGCCCAGGGATGGGAATCGAATGCTGAGAAGACGCCCCCGAGCATAGGAAGGCATGGCGCCTGGAGGCTTGCCAGTCAGGCCCCACTGCTCTGACTATGTTGATGGGGAAAGGAGGGGACCAGCGAAATGCACTCTCCCCGCTGGAATCACATGGAATCGGATCTCAGTTCTTGGTCTCTAGACGGCGCATCTCCAAAACACCTTCCTCTTTTTGGTCTCTAAAGCCACCGTCTCAGACGCCCACAGGGGCAGCTCTAGCCGCCTTGACAGCAGTGAGTTTGGGTGCGTTGGCTACAGAGGGAGCCAACCTGCTAGTGAGTGAAAGTCTTTGAGTCACTTCACCCAGAGACCTGAGCAAGAACTGGTCCAGAACCAAGAGGAGGAACAGGGAGCCACTGAGGTGAACCCACAGGGGCCGACGGGGACAGTGGAGTTGTGAGCCCGAATGTGAGGACCGACAGGGTCCAGAAGGACTTGTTCTGAGGGACATGCAGCAATGTCACCAAAGGCGTGGTCCTCTAAGAAACCCCACTTCCTTCCCCCCACGAGGGGTTCTTGATGCTGCCAGAGCAAGCTCCCCACAGCGCTCGGTGGAATTAGGCCCAGGAATCGTGAGTCAAGTCGGAGACGATGTTGAGAGACCTGCTTTTCAAGATGTCTGTGTGCAAAACTGCTACCACCAGCTACGGAAAGAAACGGTGAGGCCAGAGTTCCCCAGCTCCCTGGGGAGGCCAGCAAGGGCTTCCAGAAGCTACTGCTGGATGGGCGTCAGGTGCCATCTTGGAGCAGAGTCAGGAGCAAGGAGAGGCACTGAGGTGGAAGGGTTCAAGGGGCACCCAGTGGTTCCTGTGGAGGTGGGAATGACAGGTAAGGGAGTGGGCACCCTCCCACAGTCTCCAAGAGTGAAGCAGGAAGGCGATGACCATGCAAGAGTCCTTGGGCATCATCTGTGAGGATGGGCAGGCAGGTTGGGGTGATTCACGGCCTCAACTTGAAGCTGCCCAACACCGCCCCCTAGCGAGCAGCAGCATTTGCCTCTCACAAGCAGAGCCCCTGGCTGGCTGTGTGCTCTCCTCCCCTCCACTGGCCACACAGAGCCTTTTGCAGCTGGGGTCGGATGCACCCTAGAACCTGGGTGTGACCATAATGGGGTGGCAGGCCTGGGCAGGGGAATGGCCAGACTGGAGGGCAAAGCTCC